AATACCAGAAGATATCTGCAGAGAACCATTACCACCAATCAGTTGCGACTCAATTCTTCTTTCTTGACCCAAATGCATTCTTTCAGGCCAAACAGAATTGAGCCTCCTAGCGAAATCTTCAACTTCCCTGTTTGTTCAGAAATGAAGCATGTCATTAATTCGCACGAGGGCTTTTGTACAGGAATATGAGCAGTAAATTCGTTATAGCATTTTCAGTATACATAATAATAGAATAATCAAATATAAACATCAGTGAGCCCAAGTACTAGCAAATAGATCTTTTGCATAGAACACTACATCTTAGAAAAGAGAACTAGGGGTAGGAGAGGGAGCCGCTCACCGATGAGCTTGTGGTCGCTGCCATACATAGCCGCCGTCACGCCGGTCACCGTGCGCAAGAGCAGAGCACCTGCTGCATCCAAATCCAAACCGAACAAAAATTAGGAATGGTTGCAGCCATGCTTTTTAAGGCACACAATACATCAGTTCGGATTGCTGTCATTGAGAGACACAGAGACCAGACAAAACAGTGGACTATTTAACCCTGTAATAAAGAAGCAAAATCTCACAAGACAGTGAAGTCACTAGCAAAAGGAAGAGTAACAAATGAAGAATAAATCCTGACATACAAAGGTAAGTCATTGTGCATTTTCTTTTTCAATGTGATACACAATAACCAACATTATGATAAATAAGTTTTGGGATCCTCCGTTGTATCACCAAGTCATGCTTGTTATTAGCCAAAACTAGAGTTAAACACCTGATCAAGTGCTGCTCAACTACAGGTGCCATACGGTCGAACCGACCTACACAGCACCATCAGGAACAGAACTTATACATCCTTAAAAAATGCAACAGTGTGAGCACAGTGGTAATGGACCATGTTTTAGTAGCATCATTCGGATAGCACCATACGTTTCCGATTACTTCGCTACCGACCATCCATGGACCACAAGATCCAATCAAATATTGCACAAACCAAGCGAATTGAGGATATCATAATGCGCTCTCGACTGCAGATGCGCTAAAAAGAAGACGAAAGAGTAGAAGAAAAGAGACAACCGGGCCTTACCTTGGTGAAAACCCGGAGCAGGAGGGGGCAGGTCTGCACAAGAAGAATCGAACCTATCTAACTCCAGGTTGTTCCACTGCAACTCGGAATTTGCTCAACCGTATGTGTACATGCATCAGGGCATACATAAAATATTCAAGTCAATATTCTCAGCTAACTGTGATGTAATGAAAATAATTACTTAATGACTTGAGGTAAAAATTGATTTTAGACATCAAAATTTGCAGCGCTCATTTCAACCATGTTCAGATAAACTTGAGGTAAATTAGCAGTATGGATATTAGTTACAAGCTAGGTGTGTAAGTGTTGTCAACACCACCACCACTAGAGACACGCAAGATAAGCATCAACACCACCATGATCACAGGAGCACATATATAAAGCAAGTACACATGGACAGCTACTGACAGACCCTAGAACCGCATGAATTTATCACCAGAGAGCTCGAGTAGAAGTTGATGCTTGGTTGCAGCAACCAGTAGAGCCCCACATCCAACCCAAATCATGGCCAAGGCCATGCAGGAGCTACACCAGAGAAGAAGGAACGGGGAGGAGCTCACCAGAGGGAGGTTGTAGCTGTAGCGGAGGCTCAGCCACACCACGGCTGTGGTGTGACCATCACCACATCCAGGAGAGGGTCTGGAAGCCGCCGAAGCACCACTGCGGCGACCAGGGCAAGCGTCGGGCACAGTGGCGCCACCCCAGGGACATCACCGCACAGACATCTAAGGCCTCGCCCTGTTTCAAAAAATGTTCAGAACAACTTTGTCAGACTCGATCAATTCTGAAGAAACCACCTTCGTCGTCAGACACATACATACATACATGAAGCAAAAGAAGAAGAAACAGAGCAGGGACCTGGTCGATCATGGGCATGAGTACTAACTATACTATAGAAGCAACAGAAGCACATATATATATATATATATATATATATATATATATATATATATATATCCTATTTCTTCCACGAAGTGTGTATATAGATAAGTCAGGCAACACACGCAGATAACTATGTTTGTGCAAATCAGATCTTCTGCATAGAACAGTACATCCTATTCAAAAGAATACACAGACCTCAAGCTATGTAACTACTGAAAGAAGAGGAAATGAATGCAATTCCTATATACACAAAAACACATTTAGTAGTGTTATACATAGCAAAACTTTAGTATTTCATGGTACAATGAAAGAGCAGTTCAATTGAAGAATTTGATTGCCATTCTCAATTTTACTACTTAAAGATATAATGTAACAAATACTGGATACTTCACAGCAAGCAAATAGTGCAATAAATTCACTGGTCTATGGATACGATCACAGATTGACATGAGGCGTGCGTGGAATATAGTGCAAATAACAACGGAAATTTAAAGAAGCTCGCTTCTTAACAAAGGCCTACCAATCACTTCAACCTAACCTAAAAATAACAGTACATAGACTGTTCCATTACATAGTACTGCTATGTAATTGATACACAAAAGAAGATACATCTCCCATGTTCAGCAACCAGGATCAACCACGTGCGTAAGAGCAAAGCACCTGCTGTATCCAAATCCAAATCGAACAAGAACAAAAACTTAGGAATGGTTGCAATCATGCTTTTCAAGGCACACAATATGTCTCACCATGTTTTTAGGAATAACTAGTTATTGAAGATAAGACTAAGAGATGACCCATTATAGACATGTTATTTTGTCATCTCTTAATTACATGCAAGACTTAAGATAAAACTATTTTATCAACCATTGTACATGCCCTAACAGGCGACGCATATCCTCTCAAAATGCGGATCACTAGATTTTCCACGCTCTCTGTGCAGTGCAACGTGCCCAACGTCCATTTCAGCTAGCTCCTTCCCCTCCCCTCGAGCACGACGTCGATGCCCGACCGCGTCCAGGTTCATCCTCCGGTGACCGGCGGTGTGCTGCGTCAGATGCAAGATCAGTAGGAGAGTAGGAGTATTTGTTATTTGGTCACCCCTCCAATAATGAACTTGATAATCACCAACAACTCTGTCTCGAGAGATAAACAAGATGCAGTGCAGAGGACGAGACTCGGAGTCGCTCAAACAAACAAGTCCAGCTTTGTTTATAGAGTTAGATACACCATAGATGCCTTAACTTGTTCTATGTGGATAGTTTGGTGTCTAAAGTTGTAAAATACATAAAAATGATGCTCGAACTTGTCCGGCCATGCAAATACAATGCCTCTTAGTGTATCCAGACGTACACACTGCCCGCATGTTGTGCCAGCGTGGCAGCGGCCCGGTCGAGTGACGTTTTTTTCACAAAAGCACCTCATATTTTATTTTATTATGTAGAGAGATGCCTCAGATTATAAATATAGGCCTCATGTGTTAGTATGACAGATATAGAAATCACTAAAAAAAATTGCAGCGAGCGGGATGCAAACCTGGGAGCTCCTACTCGGTGCAAGCGCAACCTGGCTACCAGGCCGAGCCATGCTATGTGGTGTAGGTAGAAACTTATATAGACAATTCCGTGTATCCTGCTATTCCTTAACACATTTTGTACATGTTTTCATTTTCATTTTTCAAATTCCTGTTTAGTTTTTATGATATTTAAATTTTACCATATAAAAAATACAATAATAACAAGTACGAAATTATTGTGTATTTAAATTTTCTTTTTATTTATTCTGTTTTCATTGTTGTGTACTTTCAAGAGGTAAACATTAATTTTTTCTAGAATTTATGCGGATTTAGACAATTCAATGTATATTAAAAATTATTGTGTAATAATAATAAAATCTAGAAATGTGCTAACATGTTAATCATGATTGTTGAAATGTAAGAATAATTTCACAATAATTTTTAATATACGCTGAACATTTTCTAAAAACACGGTGAACATTTTTGAAATACACATTGTCAAAAAAATAATGCATGATAAAAAACACTTTTCGCGAACACGTTTACAATATTTTAATACAGGTGAAACATTTTTTTTCCAAATGCAATAACACTTTCTTTAAATCTTATGGCAGTTGTAATTTTTTTTCTTATTTTTTTCAAATGGGAATGATAATATCAATATGAAAATGAACTTGAGAAAATAAAAAGAAAACTTGTGCAGACCCATAGATGCGTCATATGTAAAAATAAGAAATAAAATCATTTTTTGCATGTGAAAATGGAAAAGAAAATCACGAAAAGAGGTAAATAGGTACGACATATATTGCTCTAACTCTTCTACATGAACTAAGCGGATATTGGCGTGTTGCAAGGACTTCACACTTGAGGTGTCTCGCGTATTGGCTAGCATGTGTATAGCTTGCACATTTGATCCTGTGTTCGAATCCTATAGGCTCATATTTTTCTCTCGTATTATTTCATCCACCCACACGTGCTGACATGCTGGACCCGCACCTGACAGGTGGGACCAGTCGGCCCGCATCCATATTTGAGATACAATTATATGTAAATAAATAAAACATGAAGGGTTTTCTAAAAAAATCATCACATACGGGTCACCCAACGTCTCCCGCTCTCACCGACTGACATGTGGGCCATCATTACACTGGCAGGCCACATGGGCAAAGCGTATGCTCGGATATGGTAGAGGCACCGTATTTGCATCAAGTTATAGCATCAGTTTTGTGTATTTTACAATTTTAAGCACCAAAGTGACGGTGCTAGATAAGTTGAGGCACCCCTAGTGTATTTAACTCTTGTTTATACTCCACTTTACACAAGAAGCCATACGTGTTTTACACAAGAAGCCATACGTGTTACAGAGTCAAGTCAACAGGACAAGCCGCGCCTAATTAACAAAAAAAAAAGTGTGGCTGGCTGGCAGCTCTGGCCGTGATGCCATCAAGATTCGTCCGTCCGTCGCCGGTAGCGGTAGGTGGGGTGGGGCGGTGGGCGGTTGGTCAGCTGGTCCGTTGCCCCGGCCGGTCACGGTCAGTGGGCGGCGATGGCGCTGCAGCGCCGCTGGCAGAAGTTGGGGACGCGGTCCATGCACTGGTACACGGGCGGGTGCACGGCGAGGGAGGACTTGACGCAGTCCCGGCACGCCGGGTGGCACCCGCCGGGCGCCGCGTCCATGCACCGGCACTGCGGCGTGTCCGACTTGGTGCACCCGCCGCAGCTGTCGCAGCACGGCCACGCGCTCCCCCTCGCCTTCGCCGCCGCCGCAGCCGAGGACGACTGCTCTCCCTCTCCTCCGTGCCCTGCAAACCCAGAGAGATCATTTCATCCCCAATTAGTCACGCACAACACAAGCTGATTAATCTCATCTGCCACTCCCTCATGGAAGGTGCGCTAGGATGCACTCCTACTAGGAACATGAACAAGAAGATCTTGCTTCTTACCTCTGCTTTGGACGCGGGAGTGGTGGCCATGGCCGTGGTGGTGGTGGTGGCTGCTGCTGGATTCGGCGAGGGGAGGAAGAGCCGCGAGGACGACGGCGAGGACGCCAAAGATCAGCAGCAGCGGCAGAGCCGGGCTTCTCCTTCTTCCCATCTCTGCCTCTTCGATTTCTTTTTCCTCTCTTGCAAGAACTTGACCGGTGTGGAGCTTGCTCCGGTTGCTGGGTCTCTCTGGCTATGGCCTCTATCCTCTATCTGTACGCGGCAAACAGAAGCCTCGGGTCATCTTATAGAAGACGGGGCCCCGGACAGTGAGAAGCAAAGCTGCGTGCGGCTGCCCACTGAGACGCCGGCAACGGGCAGAGAGGATTGGATAAACTTTGATGGGAGCGTCGTGCTGGTGATAGGATTGCAGGTTTATCACGAGTGTTCCCTTTTTGCAAGGCAGCCCGTGCATTTTCAAACAATTGCAGATAAGTACAGCCCACCACTTGCCAGGGATGTGAATACTCACAAATTTGGGAAAATGTGGCCAAAATCGGTCATGAAGTTGATAGATTGTGCGTGCGAGATCGTTTTGTTACAACGTGCCCTAAGTTGTGTCCTCCCCTCCATCCGCCCATCGTTGTGTTAACATACTCCATCTTGGTGACCTTGATGCCCACAGTTATGCATGTCGTCCTCCATCGCAAAGTGTAGCATCACATGGTAGTCGCATGCAGGAAAGAGCATTTGCGTAGATAGATTTCAGTATTGCTCACCATTTTCACGTTCGTACGAGGGCGATGGTTAATTATTCGATTGGTTTGAATTGTTGTTTGTGTAGTTTGGTATGTTGAATGCAGTGTGATTAAAGTTGTAGATAGTCTTAGTTGGCATGAAACGGGAAACTATGCAGACATACTGCACCATATAAATATACTCAATCATAAAGATGTCGAAAACCCACAAATATTAGCACTCAGACGAAAAATCACCTTCTAAAAGCCCATAACATATGGTTCTTTTCCCGGTCAAAAAACACATGGTTCTTCTTTTTTTCAATGAAGATGTGAGTTCGCTTTGATGTTGGATGACACGTGCAACACGTAAATATAAATACTCCCTTCTTTTTATTTACTTTTAATATTAGTTTCTATCTTATAAAGTTGACCAAGTTTATTGATGACAATCTAAACTTTCTCAATGAAAAGAATATATATAGTATGAAAATATATTGAATGATGATTCTAATGGTGTTGATTTGATATTGTGGATGTTAATATCTTTTAGTAAATTTGGCCAAAGGTTAGAATGTTTGAAAAGTAATATGCGAAGTAGATAAAAAATGAAGAGAGTAGAAACAAAATGTTTATCTTTGTTAACATTATTTTCCAGTGGTGAAGGAAAAAAAATCTCCAATAAGGTTTTCATAGGATGTAGGAGTGTTTTCCACAGGCGAGTCTGTTGACATTATTTTCCGAAAAGACTTGCTTGGATAACACGAGGTGGTATCAGCAAAATCGTCCCCCGAAGAGATAACGGGTGAGTTGGAGACTTGGACCTGTCGCGCCCATTCCCACGGTGAAATGAGTCATCACGAGATAAGACCGACAAGCCCACCACCACATGGCCCACGTGGAACCGCTGTAGCGTGACTCACCCGAATCCCCTGTGCCGGCCGGCCCAGTCTCCGCTTCAGTGCTCCGTGTGAGTAGCACCGTCGCGGCCGAGAGGGTACTCGGCCGTGCTGCACGGAAGATCACCGGACGGTGGGCGTGGAATGGGACCGCGGCGACGCGGGGGTGCTGAAAGACGAAAGGGACGTGGACGTATTCCGGCGACTGATCCGTTTCATTCGTGGCTTATCTCTCGACCTTTTCTTACTTTTCCGGAATAAAATAAGGCCGTCTCCTTGACCTGCTAGTCCGCCACTGCCACCGGCAGGTAAAACTATCAGGCATGTCCGCGAGGATATTCGTGGCACGATCCCACGGTACGGTATCATCTGCCTGCCGTTAGTGACTATATGCCCGCACACACATCGACTGATGGACACGTGGGTGACTGGGCGAGTAGGTGTACACCATCCCGAGACGCGGCCGCATGTGCGCGGTTGTGTGTCATGCGTGGCCCGTAGTCGTCTTGATGGAGCAAATTCATGCACGTCGATCCATGCAAATTCAAACACTTCTAAAAAGTTCTCGATGAATCTCCGATAATAACCTGCGAGTCCAAGAAAACTTCTGATATGTCCAACTGATGTGGGTGTCACCCATTTAGTGACAGAAGTAAATCTTGGTAGGGTCTACTGCTATTCCTTTTCCGGATATAACATGTCCGAGAAATCCGATTTCATTCAACCAAAACTCACATTTGCTGAACTTGGCATACAACTGATGTTCTCTGAGCTTCTCAAAAAACAAACGCAAATGCTCCTTATACTCTTTTTCATTATTCGAGTAGACCAATATATCGTCAATGAACACCACGACGAACTTATCCAAAAACTCCATAAACACTTTGTTCATCATATTCATGAAATATGCAGGTGCGTCGATCATACTCCCTCCGTCCCAAAATTCTTGTCTTAGATTTGTCTAAATACGAATGTATCAAGTCATGTTTAAGTATTAGATACATCCGTATCTAGACAAATCTAAGACAAGAATTTTCGGACGGAGGGAGTACATGACAATGTCACACGTAAATAACAAATGTTGATAAAATATATAGGTCTTGTTACATAATTTTTTTTAAGTGCGCAACTCAAACATTAGTTCTTTGTTTTTCATTGTGTGTCCACATACACTCCACAAGATCATTCAGTAGCTGTGTGTGCACCTGATCTCTAATATTGTAATGCATCTGCAGAAAGTTCATAAGCCGAGCTGCATCTTGATCTTCCGGGATTTGAACTTGTCCTCCGGGTGCTTCAAAATCATTGGTTTGTGCTACACCATCACCTTCATCCTCGACAATCATATTGTGCAAAACAACACAACATGTCATGAGCTGGCATAAAGTTTCTGATTCCCACATCATTGCAACTCCACGAACGGGAGAGAGGACTGCTTTGCCGGAGGTGGCGGTGCAGAACCTAGGAACGGCCGCGGGGCGCGTGCGGCGGCGGAGCGGCGAGATGGACATCGAGAAGGAGGAAGAAGAGAGGCGAGAGCTGATAACCCACAAGTATAAAGGATCAATCGTAGTCCTTTTGATAAGTAAGAGTGTCGAACCCAACGAGAAGCATAACAAAATGATAAGCGGTTTTCAATAAGGTAATTTCCGCAAGCACTGAAATTATCGGTAACAGGTAGTTTAATAGCAAGATATTTTATAACAAGTGACAAGTAGAAATAGTAACAATATGTGCAGCAAGGTAGCCCAATCCTTTTTGTAGCAAAAGACAGACCAAAGCAATCTCTTATAGTAAGCAAAGCGTTCTTGAGGACACATGGAAATTTCATCTACTCACTTTCATCATGTTGGTCTGATTCGCGTTCGCTACTTTGATAATTTGATATGTGGGTGAACCGGTGCTTGGGTGATGTTCTTACTTGAACAAGCCTCCCACTTATGATTAACCCCTCTCGCAAGCATCCGCAATTACGAAAGAAGAATAAGATAGAATCTAACCATAGCATAAAACATATGGATCCAAATCTTACCCTTACGGAATAATGCATAAACTAGGGTTTAAGTTTCTGTCACTCTAGGACCCATCATCTAATAACTACTTCATAATGCATTCCCTTAGGCCCAAAGATGGTGAAGTGTCATGTAGTCGATGTTCACATAACAAAACTAAGGGAATTGAAACATGCATATCATCAAAATATCAAACGAATATCAAATTCACATGATTACTTATGACGAGACTTCTCCCATGTCCTCAAGAACAAAAGTAGCTACTCACAAAACATATTCATGCTCAAGATCAGAGGGGTATTGAATATCATGATAGATCTGAACATATAATATTCCACCAAATAACCGGCTAGCATCAACTACAAGATGTAATCAACACTACTAGTCACCCATAGGTACCAATATGAGATTTTGATGCAAAGATTGAACACAAGAGATGAACTAGGGTTTTGAGATGAGATGGTGCTATTGAAGATTTTGATGAAGATTGGGCCTCCCACAATGAGAGGGTCATTGCTGATGATGATAGCTTCGATTTCCCCCTCCCGCAGGGAAGTATTCCCGGCGGAGTCGCTCCGCCGGAGAGCAAAGGTGCTCTTGCCAAGTTCCGCCTCAAGACAGTGGCGCTCCATCCTGAAATTCCTCTCCTTATGTACAAGAAGATGGGCATCGAAGGTGGGCCAGGGAGCCCACTACCCACCAGGGTGCCCTTGGGGGTGTAGGCGTGCCCTGGTGCTTAGTGGGCACCTGGGTGGCCTCCTCGAGTATTTCTTTTCTCCAATACTTTTAATATATTCCAAAATAAATCTTCATAAAATTTCAGCTCATTTGGAGATGTGCATAATAGGTTATCTGACGTAGCTTTTTCAGGTCCAGAATTCCAGCTGCCAGTATTCTCCCTCTTTTTGTAAACCTTGCATATTATGAGAGAAAATGCATTAGAATTACTCCAAAAAGTATTTTATTGCATAAAAACACTATAAATAATAGTAGGAAAATATGACGCAGAATGGACGTATCAACTTCCCCAAGTTTAGACCTCACTTGTCTTCAAGCAAAAACCGATATCGAAAATCATGTCCACATGTTTAGAGAGAAAGGTATCGACAAAAACAAAATACGGACATAGTAGCATCATGCTTATTATTATAACATCAATAGACTTTATCATAATACTTCTCATGAGCAAGTAACAATACATCACAACATCGAAGTGGAAAGCATAAACTTTCTTGAAAACTAACAAACTATGTTCTTAGTCAACTTTGCAATTACAATTCATCATATTTTCAGGAAGGATCTCGTATCGGAGCCTTTTGGCAAGTCCACATGCCCAACCATCATTTAGTCTTTTATGATTGCTAACACTCACAACATATATATGGAGCAAAAAGTTTCAGCCGAACATATAGAAAGATAGGGGCTTATGGTTTCGCCTCCCAACTTATTCACCTCAAGGGTGATGTCAACAATAATAACTCATGATCACTCATATCCAACTGGATATATGTGCCTAGATCTTTC